TCTCCGATCACAAATGCAGACATGGTTTTATGTTTACGCGGCGCGATGCAACGCGTAAATAGACAGTATAAGTCATTAGAATCTGTAATTATGCCCCACTGAATGCAACAAATGCCTCGTTTGGAATGGTTTTTAATGTTTTTGTCTAATTACACCAAATACACAAAATAATGTTCTTTTTAGCAACATCATGTGACCTCTTTAAAGGCAACATACCATATTTGCTTATGTTATTATAAGCAACTGTGGGCTTGTTTTTCAATTAAATCACTTATACATAATGTGTATTTATCGGCTTATTTTCAGATTGTAGCATGTAAAATACTTCATTAAAAAAAAAAAAAAATTTCACACATTAGCTATTATGAATCATAGCTCTAACTGAACTCTAGGATCTTTTCCCAGAAGTAAGAGAGGGCAGAAAGTGAAATGAATTGTGAGTTTTGTATAAAGGTCTTAAAGTAAATACAGATATCCTGTTGAACTCACTGGGTGGATGCAGGAGGCCAAAGGTCAGAGTGGAATTGCTCTTATAGAAAGAGCAGGACTGTCTCGCACTGGCCTGCACACGCACATCTGCACGCACACATGTGTCTTCTGAGGGCTGGACACTCATCTTTATTTGAGAAGAAAGAAAATCAATGGTCATCGACATCATTGTTTTACCTAAGAGCATTTGACTTTCTTTGCACATTCGCTATGTAAACACTGGGTCCGTACTTCTGCCTACGTCACGCGTGACCTTTCCAATGTGATTACGTAATGCGTGAAGTTGAGCTAGTGCAAGACGAGCATTTGTGGTAAAAAAGTATATACATTTTTATTTTTTAAGGAAATGACCGATTGTTTAGCTAGATAAGACCATTATTCTTCAGCTGGGATCTTGTAGAGCCCTTTGAAGCTGCACTGAAACTGCAATTTGGACCTTCAAGCCCATTGGCCACAACTGAAGTCCATTATATGGAGAAAAATCCTGGAATGTTTTCCTCAAAAACCTTAATTTCTTTGTGACAAAAAAGAAAGATATGAACATCTTGGATGACATGGGAGTGAGTAAATTATCAGGAAATTTTTATTCAGGAAGTGAACTAATCCTTTACAACACTCATCAAGTGCATGATAGAATTCCTGGTAGACACATTACAAGAAACATATCCTCAGCGCTTGCCACTTAAATGAGATTTTCTTACATTTACGTATTTCGAGTTTTAAGAGAAAGGCCTGTTTGCTTTTTAGGAAACATCTCTAATCTTTACGTAATAGTACTTAAAATACATGCTTCACAATCCGACTTTTAAACCCTTTGGAACAGGATAATTTGTTAGTCATGATAGCGAAAATGCGAAAATAGCATTTGTCATTTGACAACCTCAGGTTGTGGCTTGTAGTTGGTTTATGTATCATGAAAATTTAAAAAATACAGTTTTCTGTAAATGTAAAGATGATTTCATTTAATTCACACACACACACAAAAATAAATAAGTAACAAATAAATAAATAAATAAATACACAAGGCGAATGCCTCAGATTTCAGGCTTTTGTCTGCAATCTCTATTAAATTTTGGAGTACGGAAAATCAGGGCTAAAACCGTGTAATGTGTGGCCATCACAGGAGATACCCACAATTTAAACAACTTCTCCATCTTATCTCATGGACAGAAATAGCGTAGACACTGGACAAGGATGAAACTTTCTAGTCTGTCAACCAGTGTTCACGCATGCTATCAAACGGAGTATACTTTGAAAAGCTAAAGAGATGGTCATATTACACTTTTCATTCCACTGACTTCCATTCATACACATTGTGAATGCAGGAAACAGAATACTCAAGTTCATGTGATTTTGCTGCTTTCCAGAATTCAAGTTCGATGCAATCTGCCCTGTGAATTCATATCATGTGAAGACGTGACCAATAGAAGATCAGTGTGAATTAAAACAACACAAACTTTGAATCTGCAGGACTGCAGCATTGCAGGAAGTGAGGTACAGTAAATATTGTTACATTTTGGATGTATTATAAGTAGAATTATATTTGTAAAAAGCATGACATCGTATTACAACTGTTGCTTTCTAATGCACATGTGTTGACTGACTGTGTTTGCAGACAATATCAAATGAAATACACAAAGGTTATGCATTCGATTGTGGGAAAGGAAAAAAAAACTAGTATAATTTGGGTTTAAGTGTTTGGGTCAAAACTGATGTATACTTTCATTATTCATTAAAATTCATTATGGAAAACAGTGGCCAGCACATTCTTCAAAAACTACTTTTTTTGTATTGCATGGGAGAAAGCAAGAAGTACAGATTTGTAAAGACATATGGCTGAGTAAATAATCAAAGAATTTTCTTTCTTGGATGAACTATCACTTTAAGCTAATTCACAAAAATTACAATAACAATCAAAACGAACTGCATGTGGCTGAGAAAACACTTGATGAGCGACTACAGTTTGTCACCGTCTCATTGTGTCTAGTGTTAGCGAGTGTGATGATGATGCTAGAGGCTGTGATTTACTCTGTGGTCGGCCCACATAATGAGCAGCACATGCTGAAGGGAGGAGAGTGAGGCCGTCTGTCATACTTTCTGACCTCTCAGAGCATCACCATTATACCCTCTTCACATGTACACCTTCCTTTTTGAACCGTCAATACAAATTTCCCTTGTGAAAAGAAAATGTGCTTAATTATATTAAATGTGCACTTCAAATCATAAACGTACATTTAAAAAAAAATGTAGTTGAAGATAGCATAATATTAATGAAATAAAAGGTAACTTAAGTATACTCACTGTAAAGAGAGTACACTGTCATGGCTTTGTTTCTTAAGACACTTAAGTACACTTTTAAAAAGGTTTTACTTTAAAGTACATTTTAAATCATTATGTTTTAATAATTTTTTGCAGTTGTGCTGTTAACATACTAAAGTACATCTAAAGTACTTGATTATAAATGTAACTGTAGTGTGTTAATCAATTAATGGATAAATATATTTTAAGTGCACTAAATTGCAAATTCATCATTACAAATGTGTAGTTATGAAAATATTTAAATATTACACACGTTTCAATAGAAATGACATTAAAGTATATTTTAGTTTACCATAAATACTTGTCAGTATTCAGCAGCACTTTAACCATATTTCAATGGCAATAGTAGTAACTATGAAGTACCGTATTGGCCCGAATATAAGACGACCCTGATTATAAGACGACCCCCCTTTTTCCAGATGTACCTTTTGGAAAAAGGCTTTTTAAAAACCAAATCTTGTCTTTTCTCAGTAACACATTTTGTCTTCAATTATTTTCATATTGCATATTTTTCCTATTTTAATTTTTGTTTTGAAAGTATGGTAAAAACTGGTCAAATGTACCAACAATCACATTTTAAAAATATACACTTTTTGATATACCATAAAAAAAAATAAAAAAAACTGGTAGCCCATCTGAATTAGGACATTTAGGCTATCCATCTAATAGTAGCCTTCCAAAATCTTATTAACAGTAGAAGTTAAATCTTACTGTAGTCTTCAAATCTGGGTACTGTCTTACGTTTTAAAATCACAAAGGGAGTTTGGTCCCGTCAGGCTAACGTGACAGTCACGACTCGTGCAGCTGTAAGGTTTTCTTTTTCTTTTGTTTTTACTCGCGATCTTTACAACACGCATTACATTACGTATTTCATGGCACACTCGTTTTATGCGGTTTTGGCGCCACCTATTGTTGTGGGTGTATTATTGACATGTCAAAGTCTAGACCCTGAATATAAGACGACCGCGTTTTTTCAGATGTATTTCCAAGAAAAAAAACATCGTCTTATATTCGGGACAATACGGTACTTTTAACAAATAAAACTACCAACAGTGAACTTAAAGTATTTCCAAGAAAAAAACATTGTCTTATATTCGGGACAATACGGTAATATTCAAACTATGAAAAAAATTTACTTAAGTCCTACTCAAAAAAGCACTCTAAAATTCAGCTAATCGATTTAATATAAATTTAAACTATAATAAATTTTCATGTATCAATTAACAAACAATTAAGAGTCCGAAAACATTACAAATATGTTATTTAAAAGTACATTATTTCCATAATATAGTATTACTTTTTAAAAGTATTCTAAAGTGTAGATCTTTTTCACAAGGGTTGTTTCAAGTTCCAGTCCTGTAATGATTAAAAAGGGGTGTAGCTCATTTAAATCCCACTGGACATCTTCAGAAAATAATCACAGGAAAATATCAAATGAAAACCCCTGCAGTGCAACATTGTAACAGCTTAAAATGAGCTATTGTTTGAGGTTCCTTAAACAATAAACTCCACTTTAAAGACCCCATGACAAGTTAGTCACAGTTAGTCATAAATGTTACTGTTAAAAATCATCTTTATGGGAGGGTTCCGGGTTACACCACCAAGAGGATGACAGCCTAATTTTCGAGCTCTCCGACAGTTTTGTGAAAACCCCCCCCCCCCCAAAAAAATCTAGATTTTGTGAACCCTAGTGAATATTTTACTTAACAATGGAGAAAGGGGTTACTACTAGAAGTAGGACAACGACGAATGTAATAGAAAATGACCCCGAAGCGAGGCAAGGTAGCAGAAGTAGCTCTCCGACATCATTTCCCAATGAAGATAGTTCTGAAGTTAGCCTACGATGTATTCTCATCGAACTCTGGGAGTTCAAAAGGGACAATAAGGTACAGCTTTCCAACATTAAACAAGAACTGAAGAGAACAAATGACAGACTAGAGGAGGCAGAGGAATTGAGGAAACGAAGACCGCGCTTCAAGTAACATCAACGCTAATCAAGCAGCAAGCTAATCTGGGAGCCAGGCTGATAGATCAGGAGGGCCGTGCGCATAGAGACAATTTAAAGGGGTCATATGACGTTGCTAAAAAGAACATTATGTTGTGTATTTGGTGTAATGCAATGTGTTTATGCAGTTTAAGGTTAAAAAAACATTATTTTCCACATAATGTACATTATTGTTTCTTCTCTATGCCCCGCCTTTCTGAAACGCGTCGATTTTTACAAAGCTCATCGTTCTGAAAAGCGAGGTGTTTGCTGATTGGCCAGCTAGTGTGTTGTGATTGGCTGAATACCTCAAGCGTGTGACGGAAATGTTACGTCCCTTACCATATTGTGATGCCTGCGGCAACCACATGTGACGACCCCGGGCTGGACTCTGAACTGTTCTGGAACAGTGTTGTAAATACAACTTAACCACTGATTTCTAGTCGTGTCCTCTTTTGGAAGGCCAAACAAAGTAGTTTCGCTTTCACAACGAAACGCACAGCATCACACACGGCTTGCTTGAGTGAGGAATGGCCGGCAGGCTTTAGAACGGCACAGCCGGCGGATTCGATGAAAGAGAAAGGAAAATTTGAAATTGCATCATATGACCCCTTTAAGGATTTATGGTATACCAGAAGATAAAGAAGGTATGGACATGGTTGGCTTTCTAGAAAACTTGTTGAAAAGCGCACTAGACTCCCCACGCGATAGAGAGCTCGGGACTGAGTGAGCACATCGAGCACTAGTGCCGAGGCCCAATGGTCCGCGTGCAAGGCCACTGTCTATAGTAGTAAAATTTGCAGCTACAGGATGAATGAAGAGGTGCTTCTGAGAGCCTGGCAGAAAAAAGAAGTGTACTGCAACGACTCCTGCTTCTACGTTGACCATGATTTCCCTCCTGAAGTGCTTAAGAAACGCGGGGAGTACGCTGAAGCCAAGAAAGTGTTAAAAGAAAAATAAATAAAGTTCCAGACACCGTATCCGGCAAGGATGCGCGTATTCCACGATGAAGGCACTCGGCAATACCAGGATGCTACGGATGCAACGAGGGACGTGGCTTCACGAGGATTCTCAATTTCCATGGTGAAATCCTCCACTAATACGGATCAGGAGGAAATCGCACTACTATCTACTTGGTAGGTGGTGGGGAGACGACGCGACCGGGGTGGAGATCAGGAATCCGGTGCAGTGCAACGGCTGCACACAACCCAAGAAAACAACCCACTCTCAATATAAAGAAAAACTCCAGAAATTCAGAAAATGATCATCCATGAAATGAACCTGATATTTTACGCTTGAGAAATGCAGATAAGTTCCAGCTGACTTTCACTGCTACACTTCATATTTTGATTACCATGCAACTTTATCAGTTGTGTAAATCCTACAGTTCTATTCTTTAACTAATTGAAGAAGTCGGGACTTGTTAATGGGTGAGTTATCCAAGATTTTATTTTGTTTTCGCTAAATTATTTGCAATTTTATTTGGACTAGTATACGTCCATATGGTAGGGCCCCACTTTTGACACGACGTGGGACTTTCCTTTACGGAGGCTTTGACTGCATGAAAGCCCCACAAGGCTCTTTTGAAACGAGCCTCAACACCAGAAACAACTGTTCTTACTTGTTACGGTGGCGATTTGTTTAAAATTGTTCCAGTTTGGTTCTTGTTCAATGTTTGTAATTTGGGCGAGGTACTGTTAATGTATTCATTGAATACTAATAGGGACACTGGGAGAACTTATGCTTGTTAACCAACGAAGAAGACTATGAATAAGCACATCCTTAAATTTACTACATTTAATGTGAATGAGATTCTGAACCCAGCTAAGAGAAGTCAAATACTGTTAAAATGAAAAGGGAAAATGCACATATTGTGCTTCTACAGGAGACACATCTTACTCCAACAGAACATAAAAACTAAAGAGAATGGGATTTTTTAAGGTATATTGCTCATCTTATAAGTCAGGCCATAGAAGAGGTGTAGCAATCTTAATATCACAAAAAAATATCATTTGAACACCTCTCAGAGACCTCAGATAAGGAAGGAAGATATATATATAATAGTTTCAAGGAAAATAGATGACATTAACATAACAGTATGTAATGTTTATGCCCCACCTAGAAGTGATTTTGCTTTTTATAGAAAAATATTTGATTTGATGAAGGAATTGTCATATGTGGTGGAGACTGGAACATTCATCTCAACCCAAAATTAGATGCATCAAAAAAATCGATCACCACATTATTACATAGAAAAATGAATGTACTAATGACAGAGCTGGGCATACTAGATCTTAGGAGAGATTTTTATCCAACAGGCCGTGACTATATGTTTTATTCATGCGCTCACGACGTATACTCAAGGATATACTATTTTTTTGTTTTAAAGAGAGATCACCATATAATACAAAGCTCTGACATTGGATTTATTGACTAAGAAAACTGTGGAGGTACACAACACAAAAGGGAACAAAATAAATCTGATGGTTAAAATAAAAAAAATAAGGAATGAAATAAATATACTGCACTCACAAGAAATTGAAAGAAAGATGGTATTTACGAAACAGAAATATTATGAATCAGGCTCTAAATCAACTAAACCTTTGGCAAGGAAGCTACAAAAACAACAAACGGATAATACTATATACAAATAGTATTATCTAAAACTATACAATATAAACAAAATGAAATAAAAAAAAATTAAAAAAAACGTTTAAAAGATACTATAAGTTACTGTACACACAACCACGCCTAGAGGACGAGCAACAAATTGGACCTGATGGCTTTTCGTCAGAAAAGACTTTTCGATCTGAATTCGGAAATGCCTCCATCATGGAGCGAGGCAGTGAACTCAGTTATCCCAAAAGAGGGAAAAGATCAATTAGAACGCAGTTCATATAGATCAATTTCGACCCTGAACGTTGATTACAAATTATACACAAGCATCCTTAACCAAAAGACTGGATACATAACACATACATAGACATAACGATCAGACTGGGTTTATTTCTCAAAAACAAACTCATGACAACATTAGACGATCTTTGCATATACTAAGTCATATCCAACAGGACAAACGTGAAGCTCTTTTGATTAGTTTAGATGCGGAAAAGGCTTTTGATTCTGTAAGTTGGCCTTTCTTATATAAAGCTCTTGAACGATTTGGCATGCACAAAATCTTTGTTAGGGGCATCCATACACTATATAATAAACCATCAGCCCGGATAAAAATAAATGGGTACTTTTTAGATACCATTATATTAGAACACGGAACGAGGCAGGGGTGTCCAATTTCACCGTTGCTTTTTGCGCTTTATATAGAGCCTCACGCACAGTGGATAAGGCAGACTGAAAACATCAAAGGCATTTGTATAAATAGAGAAGACCACAAATTGGCACTATATGCTGATGATATCTTGATTTATTTAAGAAAACCCACCAAGTAATTTCCTGAATTAATGAACCTTCTAGAAAAATTTGGTAGATATGCAGGATATAAATTAAATATACAAAAAAAACAAACTTTGACTTTTAATTATACACCTCCAAAAACATATTAGAGACAAATTTCACCTCAATTGGGATCAGAACTCACTGAAATATTTAGGAATATATCTAACAAAAGAAATTTCAACACTAGCAGAGGTAAATTTTCTCCCACTTTTAACAAAAATCAAAGACGACATACACAGATGGAATGCCATCTCTTTTCTTGGTCTTAGTCATAGAATTGACTCGATAAAGATGAACATCCCTTCCCCGATATCTCTATTTGTTTCAAGCACTCCCTGTAGAAATTCCCTTAAAACATTGGTCAGAATTAAATAATTTCCAGATTTATTTGGCAAGGGAAAAAAAAAACAGGATTAAATTCAAAACATTACAGCTCTCAACGTAGGAAGGAGGTATGGCATTACCCCATTTTAGGGATTATATTTACGCGGCCCAGACTAAACCTTTAATTAACGTGTAATCCAACATACAAAGCTAGGTGGAAAGATATTGAATTTGTAATAATGAATAACCCCCCAATTCAAGCTGTATTGGCATATAAAATCTTGGAAAGATTTATAGATAAGGCGCAAAACTCATGTATTAAAGCCCAATTAAAATCTGCAATACGATAAAAGAAGAATATAAACTGGACCGTAAATGACAAATAATTAAATGGTGTGCCTATGATCCTGAATTCAAGCCAAATAGAATGGATTACAAGATTTGAATTACAGATTCAAATCTTGGGTCTCAAAAGGAACAACAGCATTCTATTCTCTTATGGAAAAGGAACACTTAAAAGACTTTGAAAGTTTGAAGAACGAATATTGTCTTGAGAAATCAGATTTTTATAGATATCTCCAGATACGCAATAATTTTGAACACAGTATTAAAAATAAAACACACTTTGATGACCTAATATTGAAGATATTTACGAGTGCTTACCAAGGTGATTTAAATAAGGGTGCCATTTCTAAATTTTATGAAGCCCTTAGGATAAAAAAAAAACTCACTCTACAGAATACATTAAAGAAAAATGGAAAAAATAATATAATTTTTCGATATTGAATGTGGAGTGGCTTGATGAATGTACTGTAAATTCACGTGGCAATGTACTAACTCTCATATATGGCGGGAGTTTGGGTGGAAGTGCCTTGTCAGATGTTTCATTACTCCGAAACAGAAAGCACATATTGAGGGAGGGGACACCAAATGTTGGAGACGGTGTGGGTTTCGGGAAGCCAATCACTGGCATATATTTTGGGAGTGCCCAGTAATAAAACCTTTCTGGGTAGAGCTTCATAAAGCAGTGGAAAGCATTCTTAATACTGCACTGCCTTTGAACTTTTCCATATTGTTTTTAGGAAATGCTGATTTCCAGGCAAGATGGCCTGAAGGATAATTATTTGACATTTTAACATCTGCCGGTAAACAAGCACTCACAAGGCGTTGGCTGCTTCCTGAACCCCCCACAATACAAGAGTAGATGGATATAGTAAATTATATTTATGTTATGGAAAATATTACTTTTTCCCTTCGTCTTCAGAAAAATGTGTTCATCAAACTCTGGACCAAGTGGGTTGAATATGTAAGGCCATTACGGCCAGACTTTGTGGAGGTATAAAACAAATGATCCTTCCCTCCTGAATGAAAAATGTCATGGTAATCTCCCTTGCACGCCTTTTCCCTACTACACATCTAGTAGATTTTCTCCCACAATCTCCATCATAAACCAAGAATGAACATTTAACATTATTTAGTATGGGGTTTGATTATTAAGTATACATTTGACCTCCCGAATTGTAAAAATTACAATTATAATCTATATTTTTGTATTATGTAAAAAAAGAAAATTGAATGGCAGAGAAAAATTTAGCTACATCTGTTTTGAAATAAGTATGGTTGTTTATCCTGCTACATCAAAATAAAGAATAAAAAAAAAAATCATCTTTATGATGGTGTACTCCTAAAAGTTCACAAAATAAAATTTTAGCAGATATACCTGTTTGTCTCTTTTGGGAGCGTACTCATCTACATGACTCATCATGTACGAATAATAAAATGCTCTTGAAGAAGAAGAATGTTACTCCCTAACTATACATTCCATCTTTGACTAGCAATAGCAAGTAGCAATACGTCCACCAAGAAAAACAGCTGTGCTCATCAAGTAATTTCAGAGGGTCTTAATAGTCTTACCGTTGCATTCAAAGAATATGAGACCCAAAGGGGCATCAGGATGTTTCTGCTGTATCCGCTGACGTATGCACTGTGGTGAAGTATACAGTGATCTGACTGCTCCTGAAGAACACGCGGGATTCCATACGGCAGATGAACAGGCTTCACGTTAGAGTCTATAAAAAGATTAAAAAACAAAGACTGACTTGAAAGGTTTCAAACACAGTGTTTTCTAACACAAAGTCGATATGAGCTATTCCTGACAAACAGTTTACTGACTTGAGTTTGAGTCGATGAGACGCTGGTTCAGATGGTTCACCTGAAAAAAGTTTAGGGAAATGTAGGTTAGGATACATGAATTTCATGTATATTCCATCCATCCATCCATCCATCCATCTATCATTATTTGAAATATTTTTTGTAATAATTTAAAAGCCTTTAATGTCAAATTTGATCAATTTAATGCATTGTTGTGGAATAAAAACATTACTTTCCCCTGACCCTAAACCTTTGAATGGTAATATTATATATACACTGTATATATATATATATATATATATATATATTAGAGACACTAAATCATTTGTATCAGTTAAGCACAAGAGGCTTGACTCACTTCCCTTTCAAAATCTGAAAAGCTATGTGATTGTGACAAACCACAGGAAAAAATAAAGAAATCCAGACAACACCACAAAGCCAAAAATTAATATGTGATGTGGATCAGCATAGAGACACACAAACAACAAACGTAACTCAAACACACAAACAACAAACGTAAGAAATTCCTTGGAGCTAGAGACTGTAATCCATTCTGCAGCATTAACTGGAAGACCAATGATCAATGGCACGAAAAAGAAAAAAAAAAAAAAAAACTTTAAACATGTAGCCATTTTCCTTTGAACCATGTTTGAAAGACATTCTGAAACTATCCACTTATTTTTATTTTTTCAGAATTGTAATATGGTAAAGGTAATGTAATTGGCTTTCCAAGCCTTTCAAATATGCAGTTTTGGTTGCAGTGCAACTGAATATAATTTGTATAGTGACAGGCTTCACTATATTTTAGGTTTAAATCCCCTTTTAACAAGCACAAAGCAACAATGGCAAAGAAAAACTCCTCAAGAGTAAGGAGGAAACCTTGGGTGGAACCATGAGGAAATTCATCCTGTTCTCAAGAATCAGCCTCCGTTTCACACCTGTGTGAAGGGTGTGGAGGAGGATGCTGTGGGGGACTGTCGTTGGACATACTGTGGTGTTTGCAGGGTGAGGACGGCATTTTCCATGGCTTCTGCCAGTTGTTGGTCTGGAACCTGGGTCTGTTGCCATGGTGATGGCCCTGTCCTCCGCTGGCTAGTGGCTTTCTGTAGAAGGGCCTTATATTGTGGCAATCCTGGGTGCCTTCTGGTGCCTGCTTTGGATTCTGGGTTGTGAAGTTCAGAATCGGGTGGGGTCTAGCAAACACTTTTGGTGGAGGCCTTGTGCTTGTTAAAGGCCTTCTGTGTCAGGTCACACAGTTGTTGAATAGGCATTGTGTGGCGGCTATAATGCCTAAATGGTGACTTACAATGGGGTGGAGGTTTCAGAGGAAAAGGCTCTTGAAGCTGATGTCCTGCTCCATCCCAGGTTCATTGCGAGCTCCGAAGTAAGCTTGTCGAAGTCTGTGGTAGTAATCATGTGGAGTTTCATACCGGCCCTGTTTGGCGGCTAGGGCAGCGATTAGTCCGTGCTCAGACTCTGGGTCTGAGAATTCTCTTATGATGGCTTGTTTAAGCCGCTGGTAGTCTGATTGGATGTGTCCTGGCTGTCGAGCCAGGAAGCTTCGCACCTCTGGGCTCGAGGTGATCCAGAGCAGATAGAGTCTATCTTGGTGGTTCACACTGGTCCAAGACTGCAGGTGAATGTCAATGTCTCACATGTAGGGCGTGGATGTCATGGTCTCCTGCATGTTCTGGTGTGAACGCAGGGATGTTTCTGGCCATTCGGTTGAGGTCTTTGAGTGTCACTCCATGTGTTATTTCAGAGTTTGTCTGAATTCCTTCTGCGGCTGCAGAGGTTTCCAGGAAACTGACTTGTGAAGTGTCAAGCAGAAGGCTTTGGCTCCCCCCTTTGTGTCTGTGTACAGGGGTGAGGGGGTTTGCACTGCTGGCAGTGTGACGTGCAGCAGGGTGACTTTTGCATGAGTCCATGCGCAAGTCTGTAGGACTGTTTCAGTTCTTTCTGAACCGTGTCAAGCTCCTCTTTAATGTTGACGAATTTCTGAGTCAGGGTTTGGACTTCAGCTCTGGCTGCATGCAGATGGCCTCCTAAGGCCTTAGCTCTAGTGTCTCTCTTATTAAGTTCCACATACGCAGTTTTTAACAGTGACTTTGTGTGAAACAGTTCTCTTTCCAAGTCCTGTCTGATGGCTTTTTCCAGCTGCGCTCGGTGTCCAGCAGCTGTTAGAGCCTCCTGAAGACTGGTGATTTCCTGTTTCCAGGTGGTCCTGGTGAGCTGGCAGGGCTGGATGTCTGAGGAATGTCTGCGACATACTGGCACGCTTGTAGGAACACCAGAGAGAGAGAAGCAGAAGGCAAATGCAAGTACGTACAGAGGTGTTAAGCTATCTATATGGGCAATGGCTGTGTAGGCCATGTAAGGTGTGAATAGCTGGTGAGAGCAGCACACAGAGAGAGAGAAGCAGAAGGCAAATGCAAGTACGTACAGAGGTGTTAAGCAATCTATATGGGGAATGGCTGTGTAGGCCGTGTAAGGTGTGAATAGCTGGTGAGGGGCAGCTAGTGAGGTAGGGTGCTATGT